AATAGGTACGTATATATGTGTACAATTCGTCAATGGCTTTCTACATGTCGGCTCTATCCCAATGACCCGCTCGACCATGTAATCAGGCACACGTATCCATTCCTCTGGTCCAGAAGCATGCTGTGCTTGATATCAACTGCACGTGCAAACCCGGAGCTCATGATGACTCGGCCAGCAATGTCAAAAGATCTCGGGTGTCTCCGAACCCGATTGCGCAGCATTACATGGCCATGTCGACATGTTAAAGTAAAAATACAAAAAAGGGGTTGTCTAATTAAATAAAACAACAAATTATGTAATCATAACATAATAAATAACAACGAGAATATACTCACATCATTGGCGAGCCAACCTGACCGCGTCAAAATATCTTCAAACCACTTCTTAGCGGTCGAAATGGTCTTTTCTCCAATCTTATAGCTGTCTCTGAAAAAATGAAATGTCATACAAATCATAGATGATCTCATATGTATTTTAATGAAATCATAAAATATTTACAAGGACTTAAGTGATTTGAACCATGCATCGAACGCTTGTGCCTGATCGCGTCGACCTCATGAAAGAGATTGGGAACCGTCCCGTTCACAAACGTTCTTCTCTTCGTCTCGGCCATGAATGGAGAAAAAATGTACTACGACAACTGTCTCTGCCTCTTATTGACCACCAGTTCCGACATGCTTATTTCCCTTTCCCATTCCCTCCGACACAAAAACTACATCCGATGAGTCTGACGTCTTCTCGAGTACCACCACCTCCTCCACCTCGAGTACCCCTTAGCCTTGAGCACCCCCTCCACATCCGTCTCCATTGGGATCTGATCCTCCATCCCCATCATGCCTAAAAAAAATGAAGCGAATGTATCATTCGTTGGCTACGATGAGTCAACATAACCCATCTGACCCCCTCACCTCTAATAACCACCGGTGCCTCCGTCACTCCCTCCATCCCGATAGCCACCAGTCCCTCCGCCACCCTCTCCATCCTAATAGCCGCTAGTCCCACGTAGGCCTGCTATGTCGCCCCTATCACTACGATCTCAGCATAAAGGTCTCTTAAACCGACTTGTACCATCGCGATATCACGTCGTAACTAAGCTATTTTACCTCTGATCTCCATCAAAAGTTGAAACATATCATCGATGGAAGCACTGTGACTATGTGCAGGAGATCCATGTGGGAGGTGTCAGCGTGGGGGACAGTGATCTCATGTAGGAAGGTGACCTCCTCGGGGAATGTGACACCCTCGACAGAGGTGATATCCTCGGCGGATGTGATAATGGACAGTGCTACTAAAAAAAGAACATTACAAATGAATGACTGAATTCAAAAATTATAATGATAATCAACAAATTATATTTAATTAATATACTCTATCTCGATCCACGATGGACTCGGGTCTCTCTCGAAGCAAGAACTGTCAACAGATCACGAATAAATTTGACCCTCTTCCCCGATTGACGGTGTCCACTCAGTGAGGACTTTAAGCTGACATATTGACATTTCATCGAATTAATGACCACGTATTGAGATTTCGAAAAGGACATACAATATAAATCGAAAATGTATAATACATACCTCAAGATCGTCAAGGAGAACTGATAATTATTTTGCAAGGGACTTGTCTTGTGCTCGCCAGCGGTGCATTTGGGGGCAGCATATATCCTCTCTCATTGCATACTGAACAGCTAGGATGAAGACAGTCTCGTAGGTTCATATCTGTAACAACTACAATTATTATATGTATAATTTAATTAAAAATAGATAATTCATTATGTTAAACATTTACCTACAAAGCTAATGGCAGACCATATATATCGTACTTACGCTCGTGCCTATCTCCCTAGGCATCGAATGCCCCCTCCTAAAGACGTGCAAAATATTAGCAAAGCATCTCTGCTCCATGGATATCTGTTGAATATATCGATGTCATCAACAACTTCCAAATGAAAAACGTCAATCGACGTTTTCCTATGATGACACCTCAGTACGCTTTTGAGTATAAACACCATCCCTAACTTCAACTTGTCGGACATCTGGTTGCATTCCATGAATGCATCTTTTAACTGCGCCAGTGTCACTGTTGTGTGCTCATTTAAATAATCATTCAGCAGCCTCTTGTTTGCCAGAATACGAGCCCTCGTTGCTTCTTCACATGTACATCTCAATCCGGTGATGATAGCGAATTCGAATATGGAAAATGTAGCCACCTTACCCCCAAGATCAAAGTGGAGGGCACTTCATCAACTGGCTTAAGCAATCGACATAATAATAAATCGAGCAACTGTCCAGAAAATTGTACAAAGCACAGCGAATATTGGGGCCATAAGCAAGATCGATGTAATATCTCCGCGTGCTCCTCGTCCAACGAATCCAATACTGATGTGAAGTTGGCAAAGTTACAGTTCGACGTAACTTTGTCGGAATCTGTCTCATGACAACATCCAAATAGTAATTCATCCTGCAAAATTTCAAATGTTAGAATATTGTTAATTGAAAATGGATAAAGCATTATATTACAAAATTAAACTAAACGAACTGTAACCAATATACGCAAGAAAGAACAGATAACGAAATAAAGAAAATGAACGTAATTAAAAATTAAACAACAAATTATAAAAAGCGAAAAAATAATTTTTGTAAACTTATTTATTTTAATTGTTTATTGAATGTTTAATTCTTTATTGTTTATTTACTTTGTTTTAATTGTTTAGTTGTTTATTTAATATTTATTTTAATTGTTTATTGAATGTTTAATTTTTTTATTATTTTTTTGAATTGTTTATTTATATTATTTGTTTTAATTATTTATATTTATTGGTTATTTAAATTATTTATTGAATATTTAAACGTAAATATTTAATTAATTATTTTATTTGTTAAGTTGTTTATTTAATATTTATTTTAAGTGTTAGATATTTATTTCAATTGTTTATTTAAATTTAAATTTTTTATTATTTTTATTTATTTATTAGTTAATTAATTAATTAATTTATGATTATTGTTTGATTGAAATTGTTTATTTAATATTTAATTACTAATTTTGATTATTTTTATTTAATTACTTATTTAAATCAATTATTTTGAATATTTATATTTCTTGGTTATTTAAATTATTTATTTATTATTTAAGTGTTAATTATTTATTTAAATTATTTATTTAAATTGTTTATTTGTTTGTTTAACATTTATTTTAATTGTTTATTGAATGCTTAATTTTTATTATTTATTGCAATTGTTTATTTAATTTGTTTCAATTGTTTATTTAAATTATTTGTTTTAATTATTATATTTATTGGTTATTTAAATTATTTATTGAACATTTAAACGTAAATATTTAATTATTTATTTCAATTGTTTATTTAAATTTTAATTACTTATTTTTATTTTTGATATTTATTTGTTATTTAAATTATTTAAATGTTCATTATTTATTTCAATTGTTTATTTAAATTATTTACTTGTTTATTTAGCATTTATTTTAATTCTTTATTGAATGCTTATTTTTTATTATTTATTTCAATTGCTTCTATTCAGGCAGCCCAGACGTCTGAGGCATTTATTTCAATTATTTATATTTTAAATAAAACGAAATAAAAAAACAATTCAATTAAATAAAAAAAATGGGCCACATTTCCAGATGGCCCGGGCGGGATTTCCTAGGTGGTCCAGACGTCTGGGACCACTTGGAAAATCCATATGGCCTAAACGTTTGGTCCGTTTGGGCCTTCGAGATTCTCTGCCTGCTTCGTTGCAGGCGGCTCCAATGACGAAGATTACTACTTTCAACGATCTCCGCCCACATAAACAATAATAAAATTGAAACTCCACTAATTATTTATGTTATACAACCATTTTTTAACTGAATTTTCAACAAATAAACCCTCAACAATTCAAGAAATCAATGATTAATGACAACAATTCAAGAAATCAAAGATTAATGATAGAAAAGAGTTTCAAAGCTTACCTTCTTCACAGAAATGGAGAGCTCCAGTCTGGGTCGTCGATTTTCCTTGCTTACAGGCGGCGGTTTTGCTACATGAACTTCCTCTCTTTTTCACTTTTAGATGGATGTAAGGGCAAAAATGGAATTTCATTGTTTTTATTGGTTTTAATAATTTTTCCTTTTTTTTTGTTTATTTACAGTCAACGGCCATTTTGAAAAATTATAATGGTCAAGAAGCCATCTGCCCCTATCTCCTCATAACTACGAATGTTGCATTTAAACCTAATTGTTTAAAATATTTTCTTCTTGTCCCGTATGAATTATTGTATCAAGGATACTCTAAAATTTTCCACTAATGGTACTAGAATATTCACTGCTAATATTGAATCACGGTAAACTAAGAAATAAAGTATATACTCCTTCAATGCAAAATTAATCTTATAAGTTCACTCGGATTGTTAAGTTTTGGATTTTAATCATTGCCAAGATATGAAATGAGTAATCAAATTTAGAGAAGATATGGTGTGAAATTTTCTCTTCTAAGTGAATGTCTTACATTGAAGTAAACCTCTATAAATCTAGTGTTTCTTGTGTGTCAATTTTATCTATGATTTAATTGCTATAGGTGCTATAGAACTAGAATTTCTAATTCCAAAAGGCAGAAGGACAAAATTAGCTTTTGATTATCGAATGCATGCCTTCATTCATGATTGAAGAAAAAGATCTCAAGTTTTTTTAAAATCAAATCATGCCTTTTGCATATGCCTATTATGAAACACTGCATACGCAAGCAGTGGCGAATCCAGGATTCAAGTCCAGCTAGGGCGGATTGACCGTTGACCGACGATCGTTGACTATCGACGATCGTAATTGTCCAATCGTTTATTAAAATTTGGTTACATAATATTAAAAGTTACTCAATATATATGTAAATAAACTAAAACGTCAAAATCGTATACATATGAAAATATACTTCGATACAACCCAAAATAGTAAAAAAAATATACGATACAACTTTACTCAGTTACTCTGTAACTGGAAACTTAGACAACTGTATTCTACGGGGTCTCATGATTTGAAAACGTTGCAATATTGCCTCCTTTTTCAAATTGTTTAAAAATAGCTTTCTCCACGTAAACCACCAAATTGTCATTCAACCAGACATCACCCATTTTGTTGCACAAATCACTCTTGATTAGATTCATAGCAGAAAATACCCTTTCAACAAAAATCAAACCCAAGGTGAGCAGCCTATAAACCAATGGAAAATAACAGAAACTTCTAGTTTCAATCAACTTCTGAGCTACACAAGATATACTATTGATATTAAAGAAAGCTTCGTGCATTCTCACAAGCAAAAGAAACTTATCAAGTTGAGGTCTAAGTAATAAAAGTTCTTCACTATTGAAGTCCAAAGGATAGAACTGAGCAAGACGTAGCAATTTATCCTTATCAAAAGCTACAAATGAATCTCTTTGACTTAAACATGAAATGCAAGTAAAGAGCTCAATAGTTGTTTCTGGAAATCGATCATTCAACTCTTGCAAGATTGAGTCTATCACATGACAATACAAATCAACATAAAAGCGATGAAAATAAGTCACCTGCTGAGCTACACGCCTAGGTCGACCTTTCACCACTACAATATCCTCCATATTAGGCACTAAAATATGTCTATCAACACAAAACTCAATCACCCTACTGAACAAAGTATCCCAACCAGTCTCTCTCAAGTTCTGCAATGCACACTTACACAAATTCAATAACCTCATAGCATTCTGAATATCCTGATCCTTTTTCTGTAAGGCTTGTGAAAGGTCGTCTGTAATTGCAAGAATTTCAAACATAAAGTGAAGACTGAACACAAACTCAAAACCTTGCATATTGTTCATCTGTCTTAAGGCTGAAGATTTTTGATCTGAATGTACGCCATCTTCTGATATATTCTCAAGAACATCTATAATAGCATTAAACATATTAATGAAACGAGTAACTGTCAATAAATGTGAGCCCATCTAGTATCACCTGGGCGTGCCAAACTCATTTCTTGAAACTGACCACTTCCACCAGTAAGTTCCCCAGTATTAAGCTTCTCCAGAATATTAGCTTGATAACTTGTTCGAAGAGCATCTACACGCTTACATGATGCACCAACCAAATTCACAATAATAGCGAGTACATCCAAAAAATCACCAACCATACAATTCCTACGTGCCACAGATATAATTGCCAACTGAAGCTGGTGAGCGAAGCAATGAACATACATAGCATGTGGGTTCTCTCTAAGAATTAAAGCTTTCAACCCATTGAACTCACCTGACGTATTACTTGCTCCATCATAGCCTTGACCTCTCAGACTAGATATACTCAACCCATGTGTAGAAAACATTGCATCAATGGCATCCTTCAATGATTGGGCACAAGTATCAGTGACATGAGATATACCCAAAAACGCTCCTTCACTCGCCCACTTTTATCAACAAACCTTAAAACAACTGCCATTTGTTCTTTCACAGAATTATCACGAGCCTCATCAACTAAAATTGAAAACAAAGAATCACCAATCTCATTGATAATAGCCCTTGTCGTCTCTACGGCACAACAATTAATCAAATCCTTTTGGATGGTTGGTGAAGTCATTTGGTCATTTCCATGAGCATTACTAAATAAAACTTCTTTAATTTCATTACAACGAGCTGCATACCAGTTCAATAACTCAATTAGATTTCCTCTATTAAGAGACTCTTTCGATTCATCATGACCACGAAATGACAACCCTTGCATAAAGAGGAGTCTAGTATAATCTAGCACCGCAATCAACTTGGTCCTATAACTTTGTTGTTGACTACTACTTTGGCTAGAAATAACGTAAGAGATACTTTGCTTTTGATTCATCAAGTTCGTACACTTTGCAAAAGCTTGATTATGAGAACTATCAAAGAGACCGACATGATCTTTCAATGTCTTTTTGTGCTTCCAATCCCTAAAGCCAGTCTTAGTAAATATATGTCCACCCCCTTGACCCCCTCTATCAGGTTTGAATAGGTAGCAATGTAAACAATACGCCGCATCCTTTTCTATACTGTATTCCAACCAATGAAATTCGGAGAACCATTCTTTCCGAAAACATCTATTATCATTTCCCATCGGTCTTCTTGAAAAATCATGTTCATATGGTTGACAAGGACCCTTCTCCAAGTATGACATTCTAACAACATCTCTAATATTATGATCATATGATTCGATAGGGGGGCGTATCCCTGGATCAGATACAAGATCATCCATATTAAATTGAGCCTGAGACTTCTTTGTGTTATTCAATAACTCTTGTGCTTGACTAGAATCAGTGGCGGGACTAGATCCACAACTAGAAGTAGAAGAATTGGGTATGGTCTTTCGCTTTGGTTGAAAAAATCACTCCATAATCTGCAAAATGTCATCTTAAACGTAAATTCCCAAATCAATAATCATTCCTAATATCATATTCCCTCATCATATCATAAATTACTCATCATAAATCACAATTCGCAAATACAATTTCGTAAACATAAATTCACATAAATTACCTAATTTATGAGAAGGGAAACTAAAAGACATGGTTTGATCCAATATTCTCAAATAAGAATCAGTACCTCTGGACTCTTTTTATTTTTCAATAAAATGTAAATTTAAGAAATTATATAATGACAAAATAAGTAACTTGAGAGGAAAATAAACTTATTTTTAAGTCCAACAAAATATGCATATCCACACGTTGCACTGTGTATGTGGGGTGGAGTGGAAGGGGATTTCCTTTTCACAAAATTCTAACTAGATAGCATTAGAGGTTCTCTCTTCTTTCCTTGGATCAGTGGATGCTTCACTTTATTTCACTTTGCATCATCTTTTTTGTTCCAAAAAATTAACTTGCTTTTGAATAGGAAAAGTTTCAGATACGGAAGATTAATTAGTGATGCAGGCTTCGTATTCTCTTAAATGATTGATAAGATATGGAAGTTTTAATAATTAAATTGGTAATGGGAAAAAAAAGAATAATTAAATTGGTAATGGAAGTTCCAAAACGATTTTTTCGTAAACGTATATGACTCTCGATTTTTTTTTTTACATATTCAAAAATTACTAAAACGATTTATTAACCTCAATATATTGTATAATTAATCCTACAATGTGGAGTACTATGTACCAAAAAAAGAAGAAGAATAATAATAAAATTCTTTATTCCCTTCTTCAAATTCTCACTTTTCCATTCCAGAATTCCATTTATCACTTCACTGCTTCACAAATCACAAGTCAAGAACATAAAATTCCACCCCCATCACCGTCATCGGCCATCGCATTCGCGGCATCGCCTCTCTCACAAGTCACAACTCACACACACGTTCCTAAGTTCCTTCAGGACTTAGGAGACACCGAGACAGGAGAGTATTACTCTTCAAATTCCCATTCTTGAAATTTGTTAGCATTTTTACGCACATCAACACCAAAACCCAAAAAAAAAAATAATAATAACAAAGATTGAAAGAAGGAGTAACCACTCACCGGACATTGACCGGTCCGAAAGTCTGATGGTGATGCCTGAAGTTTGTGGTGTGAATTTGGAGCAAGAAGAAGTGAGGATTGAGGAAAAGGGTTTGGTAATTTGGGGGAAATTCAAAATTTTTTGCTACTGCCTCTCGTGACTCGTCTTTTGCTGGCCCTTGCACCTGGGAATGAAAAATGAAAATTAAGGCCAAATAAAATGGGTTATGGACTAACGGGTTGGCTAATACTCTCCCGGGCTTAATAAATTAACTAAAAATAGGCCCAGAATTTAATATACTTAAGCCCAACGGCCAAACCCAACCAAAAAAATTAAAACCCGGCTATGCGGCTGAGCGGCTCCATCTTCATCTTCCTTCTTCAGAGTTCTTCTGTTCTTCAGTCTTCTCCAATGGCGCAATTGTAGTCTGCAACTCCTTAGTCCTTACTTACCCGGCGGCTTTGCAGATTCTGACGGAGCCAGCACGCGCGGCCGCGCCCCCTCGTTGGGTGCTGGCATTGCGCCTGTACGTAAGAAGAAAAGCAAAAAATAGTGCTAATGGAGCTCCAAAACAAGTTACTAAGTAAATAACCAGAGTCGAGTTTTTAACGCAAGAGATTCATTAATGAAGGAAGAATTTTTGAAGTTTGAAGTTATGGCTATTGAATATCTGAATATTATGGGGGTTGCTTGAACTTTTGAGATCAGAAAATGAGTTTCTTCATAAGAGAGTTAAGAAGCTTTCGAGGAGAAATAAAAAAGCAATCCCATATCTTTGGAAAAACAAAAATTGCAATTTGTAGCTAAAGAAACAAAGATCTTGAGAACTTGAAAAAAATAAATGGCACGGCCGAAAAGGTCAGGGTGGCCCAGCTGAGTAGTTTTTATTTATTTATTCTCTTCTCCGAGCTCAAGGAGAAAGACCAAGCATGACGAATGTTTCTAAAGAACTTCAATGTATTTATGTCCTACGGCATATTAAGAAGATTATTCTAATGAGGCAAGTGCCATTGTTATTCATTGATTTCATGTGTTGGTGAAGTGAATTGGACAACAATTTGTTGAGAATTCAGGTCAAATAATTAAAGAACGAGAAAAAGAACAATATAAAGAAAATTGGATCACACAATAAGACAGGATTTATGTAGAAGAAGAGGAGAATTTCATATACCAAGAAACTAAAATTGTGTTTACAAGATTTGATACTCTCAAACTAAATCTAAACGATTCTCTCAATTTTTTAATGTATAAAATAAAGATCTAATTATTTTGTTGAGTCTATGAAGAGCCTAGAACATGTGGAGTATATATAAGTGTCAAATCTTGGAGTTATGGATGAAGTAGAGTACAAAAAATACAGTAGCAATCAACTAGGAGACCTCCTCTCTCGTTTAGGTGGCGTCGCGGCACCCTAGACACCAGCGCTGACGCCTGCTTCCTCTTGCAGCTTCTGGCGTCGTGTCTCCTTGTTTTTCTAGAACACTTTCATCAATCCCGAAGTCCTTATCCCCATCAAACTCTCAATCTATAATGAAATTTGATCCCTTATTTATCCAGAATTTCAAACCATAATTATCGAGGTTTCCTTCATGAATCAAACTTCCAAATCACATTAAATTTGAGTCATAACCTAACACAATTGACTAATATTGTATACCAAACATGTCTAACTTCATTGAAGGAATGTGATAAAGAAGTGAAGACTAAAGATATGTTATTTTGAATTTGCTATGGGCATAAAGATAGATAAATTGAAAAGACATGGTGATAAGTGCGATTTTATACTTATTAGAGCCACCAAAAGTGGATGAACCTATGTTTTTTCTCTCAAGATTGTCTTCCTCTGAAAGAACTAAAGAATCGTATTTACAGTCATCCAATTAATGATTCGAGATGGCTGGATGCATAAGTGCTGCAATACATATTTATAGTCCACCAAAATATGTATTGCGCATGACGAAAATTGTCCATGTGACGGCATGGTGTTGTCCTCTACGATCCTATGGACAATTTTCATCACTGAAACTTAACTATTATTTTCTTATTTACAAGGAGATGACAATGGCGAACTCCCAGTAATAGATATTTTGTTCATTCGATAGTAGTGGATAACACAATGAGATCGTATAGGCAACTTTCGGCACGTAAAAAATTTTGTCCATGCTATTATTATTTTTTAACTCCGTCAGTGTTACATAGGATTTTTCATCCATCACATTGATTTTTGTCTACGTAAATTGATGAAAATGTAATTTTGTTCAAATTTGGATGAGTAACGAGTAACTTTTAATTTTTAAATTTCTTGACCTATAGGAAGTCCAGTGAGAAACAAACAACTATTTAAGTTTCGGTGAATAAGTAATATTTTATAGCAAAGTTCAATGAGCAAGAAGTAATCTTTTAAATTTTTGGTGAACTAGTAGTAATATAGTAAAGTTCAATGAACATTGATTCAACCCTTGTTTTGAACTCCATTATGATTGAATTTTGGAGAAAAAGTATTTTGGAATAGTAATTTTTTGAAGAATGTATGTTTAAAAAAGAAGAAAAAATCTTGGATTTACGTGTAATATTATTTTATAGAGAACGTGTGCTTGATAAGAAAAGAGGGAAAAATGAGTTAAAATTTTAATGGAGCCAAACAAGTTCTAAATTATCTCCTTTTCTTTACCCTTTTCTGGCAAACGACTGTTGATAGCTAAGTCTCGTGACCAAAACGAAGGTGAAACTGCAAAGTAGAGGCAGAAATGTTCGTAGTGTTTTGATATATATTCCCATCTTTCATTTTCATTTCCCCCACTTTATTCTCTTTCCCGGGCCTATATATACTCCATGTTGTCACCCACTTGTACCATAATCTTTTTTTGAAATTACCCTTTCCTCTTGCAGAGTGGCCATGACTAGACTAAATTTGAGATCAACCAGACCACGTGACAAGGGAACATTGGGTTACTTGGACCTTGAGCATTACCGCAACTACCGTTAACTAATAAAAGTGATGTTTTATAGTTTTAAGGTTGTATTATTAAATTTCTGACTTCTTATAAGGTGATTGACTTCTCACGAGATCACGACAGTGCGGATTTAGCCATTTATGTGATTCAACGAGCTAGTGGCAGTTCGATCAATGGAAGTTGTTGACATTAAGCTTGAAGATCTTTTGTGAGCTTGCACTTGTTTCTAAAGAACTTCAATGTAAAGGTTAAAGTCTAATCTTAAGGGTCCCCCACCATCACTGTTCTGGAGTATCGTAAGAGAGGTAAATAGCAGGTTATGCATCCAATGGTACAGGGTGGAAGGCTGCTTGTACACTTGCACTTATTCAAGAGTCAAATCCATATTTCAGGATTCGAACCCTTGACGCAGCAGCCTCAAGCAAAGTTGGATTTTTCCACCCTCCTCTTTTACCACTTGGAGATGTGGGGCAACTTCAATGTATCTTTGATAGAGGTATGTCAAGAAGATGATTCTAGTGAGGCAAGCATCATTGTTTGGCAAGGTTGATTGACAGATGTTCAAAGCATTAAAAATGAAAAAGATGTCAGAATAAAATAAATCAGGATTACTGTAACATAGCAAATTTTAAGTAAAATATAAAGTAGAGCTATAAAATAGTGGATTTAAAACTTAAAGAGAACTATCCTAGAGATGTAAATAGCGTACACGAAGTATGTCAGATACATAAAAAAAACACTGACCTTTAGAAACATGGCCGCTTTTGCATTGAGGCGAGTGAGACAATCACCTCAGGCCCATCATTAGAGGGATCTCAAATTTTAGCCTATTTTATTTTTCTATTTGATAAATTAGGTTCACTATGATTTTTTTTTATTAAAAAAATTGATAAATTAGGTCCATTCCATTCTATTTATAAATAAGGCCCAAAAATAATTTTTCATTTTGGGAATTTCATTTATAGATTATGTCCATTTCAAATGTAATAGAAGGGGACAAGTGGCGTAGGATTCTTCAAACTCATGTTGCAATGATTTCTTAATTCTACTCAACTTGTTCATCATATAAGTAGTATACGATTTATTTGTTTAAAATAAGAGACGTGTTACTTGACTTGATAAAAGTTAACAAAGACCCTTAAACAAAGATTGAAGTCAAGTAAAATAGATATTGAAGATGTATTCCGATAAAAAAAAATGTATAATTTGAATAAAGAAGCAATTTGACAAAAGTAATAGTGATGAGCTAAATCAATCAGTTGAAGAATTTTTCAGAGTTGAATACATTGAAGAATCTTTTAGAGTTGAATACTTCTTTTCTTATAATTAATTAAGCTCTATCTTCTCTAAAATTCGATTTGAACAATGTATACAATATGAAGAACTATTTCATTTTTTATTAAATTTATAAAGGTTAAAACGTTCAATTTTTTAAATTTGTTGAAGTTTTGTATGAATCTTGAGAAGTATCTAAATCCCAATTGGCATTCGAATATTAATGGAGATGATTTACGATTTCGAATTACATGTCTTGATGTGCTATATATTAAGTAAAGCAACGAGAGCAATTGAAATGCTACAATATTTGAAAACATTTCAAATGCTTATATTACTTACAAAATTTTGTTAATCATTTCTAATCTTATCTTCAATCAACTATATAACAAGAATGATTTAATTGATTGACTATACTATTAATTGAGAAAGAAATAATCGAACAGGTAGATTATTCAAATTTCAATAATATTCTTGCTTCTAAAATTGCAAGGCGAATAGTATTTAACTGATCGTTTGAAACATTGTCAGCTTTATTAGTTGATTATAATATATTTTTTTTGTATAATAAATATTTTATTTGTTGTTTTATTGTTAAGTTTCAAAATTAACAAGTTAACTATTGACTCCATAATGCAATTTTACATGCATACTAAAATTTTGGGGCCCAATTTATGGTGTTCGTCTCAGGCCCCGGAAATCACAGAGTTGGCACTATTTAGAAATCCCATATAAAAGAATAAATAGTCTGTAATAGTTGCAATCCCACAACAGCTAAATATCAAATAGGGTTCTAAAACTTCTGTAGTAAAAAGAATCTAATAGAAAGATTAGTCACTAACATAAAGGTATCATTTTCCTCAGCTTACTGTGACTTCAGCAGAAAAGCAATTTGGATGGTTTGCATCTTGGTTCGATAATTTGGCCTTATAGAGCCTGAGAACCTCAACAGCTTCTTCCACCTTCGCCGCTAGTGAATCTGGTGACTCCAGTAATAGAAGTAATTCTGAATTGTCCATCTCCAACAGCATTCCCGTTATCTTTGCAGCGAGATCAGGCTACAAGTAACAAAAGTTAGCATCAAATCCTGTTAGCATTCTTAAAGCATATGTAGCAACGAGTCAATAGTAGAAAAAAAATGCTGTTTTATACACAAATAGCATGAAATGAGAGGCAGGGGGAAAATGAAAAAGTAAAAAGAGAGATTACCTTGCGTTGACTGACGAGGGGATAAAGACGATCCCCAAGTATCTGTTTCTGCTGATCTGGAGTAGCTCCATCAAGCATCCTGCTTAACGTCTCTGACCCCTCATAGCCAGTTACAGCAGAAGATCCTTCATTCATAGCAAGTGAACGCCCATCTGGCACGTTCTGCAAAGCATAGCACACTCAATTTCTTCTCATCATATGATAAATTGCAGCAGGTGTGTAATTAGCAGATTGCGAATTCAACTTGTTATATTCTTGTTCTAGTTAATCAGAGGTAGACGCATTTATATTTATATTTAATGCGAGTATGATGCAAAGGAAAAACCCAATCTTCATAGGACGAGAACAATGAGTTGGGTTTTTCCTTTGCATCATACTCGCATTAAATATAAATATAAATGCGTCTACCTCTGATTAAGGACGAGAACAATGAGTTGTATCTTGGGAGTTTCTATTTTGAGGTCTAAAATTTGATGCACAGAGATTAGATCTCGATTTGAGACGTGTAGCTGACCACCAACCTGTGGAAGCGTATTACTATTCATCCTTTCCCTGTTTTGTCTATGTTGTCTTGGATTATTAGGAACCTGTGAAAAAAAGGAATTTGAAGAACACATAACCTACTTTTGAACTATAACAAGCACTAAAGATACCTATCAATGCAAGGTGTTTTGCAACAAAATGGAAAAAGCTTTTATAAGATCGAGAGAGATAGAGTAGGCTCTATTAAACTAATCAAGGAAAATAGAGATGAAATTAAAGCAGGTATAGAAGAATTTTCACATACATCAGCCCCCCATATTGGCCTCAACCCCAAAGGTTGATACATCAGAATAGGTTGAGCTGCAACTTGCGGACTGATGCCAGGAACTGGGTAGTGAAGTGTAGAATATCCACCGGGGATTACAGGTGGCTGCCCAGCTCCTCCTCCCATGAACTGGGCATATTTTAGCAGTAACCGGGCTTGTCTTTCCTCTTTCCTCTGAGCAATTCCCACATACAATGGCTTTTGATGAGACATGAATCCTGTAAAACGTACATGGGCAGATGCTTCAGAGTCTTAACTTAGTTGGAATATTGAATGTAGTCACGTAAATAAGGTAAGAGGTGACCGGTACTCTTGAATTCATCATCAACATTTTCTTGGGTCTGTAATGAGACTGAACAATGTTGATTCCCCATAATGCAACATCCACCGTGCATTTGCTTCAGTAATGAGAAAAACTTGTCAGCAAACATGTAGACTCACCATGAAAAGTGTTCACAGCTTTGTTCGCTTCCTCAGGTGTGGAGAAGCACACAAATCCAAACCCCTTGCTCATTCCTTTATCATCTCGCATAATCTTTGCAGAAGTAATTGTGCCATACTGACTAAAGCGTTCCTGTAGCTGATCATCAGTGACGTCGTCGCCAATATTCTTCACATACACATTTGAAGTCTGAAATTGAAATGTTAAGAGGTAATAAAAACTGAGATTATACGTAATAAACATGTGCATACACACACCCACAGCCTATCTGAAAGAAATGATTCCTTGTACCTGGTATTTCAAGATTTGCTCCTTCCTTTTCTCCTTTAACTGGTAACGTAACATCTGTTCACGTTCTGCTTTCTTTTGTGCCCGGGCCACATATATAACCTGTGAGCCTAATCAAAACATGCCACGTGATTGTTGGAGGAAAGATGGATTTACTAACTTGGATTGACTAAGGCTTTTAAGAGGACAACACTAATAGGAAGAAGGAAGTGAAAAAAGGGAACTCGTATTTCTCAAATTCAAGACTTTACACACTTTTTGGCTTGTTACAAAATGGAGGGCACTACCCCTTTATATAGTGTTTACAAAAAGATTCTAGTCCACACATTTTCTAGAGACACCTAGACCACATATCAAGATATTTTCCTAGAATTCTCTAAATATTCTTTATAAAACTACATATCTTACTTATATATTTATATAGATTTTTCTAGTAGATATTTATATAGATTTTTCTAGATAATGCTTCTAGAAATGCTATGCATGTTGGGCCTTTTAATTGATTTGGGCCTATAAGCGAAATTCTTAAGCCCATATTATTTAGTCCAAAAATCAAGTTTACTACTCAACATCCCCCTTAAACTTGATTTTGCTACTCCAAGTAGAGTTCTTAACTTGCGGAACACATCATGCTTGAGTGGCTTAGTGAGAATGTCGGCGATTTGCTCCTGGGAGGTTACATATTTCAGCTGCACTTCTTTCTTTGCAATGCTTTCTCTTATGAAGTGATATCTTGTATCAATGTGCTTGCTTCTATCATGGAATACTGGGTTCTTTGCCAATGCCAATGCCGATTTGTTATCAACATGGATTTCGATTGGCTATTCTTGTGATACTCCAAGCATCTTCAACAAGTTTCTAAGCCAAATAGCATGGCAGACACTTGATGTAGCTGCAATATATTCAGCTTCACATGTAGATAGTGCTATGATCGATTGCTTCTTTGAGCTCCAAATGAAAGCTGTGTCGCCCAAGTAAAACATGTACCCAGTCGTACTCTTTCTATCATTACTATCTCCGCCCCAATCGCTGTCACTATATCCAACAAGTTTGAACTCATTAGATGATGAATAGACTAAGCCATAATCAAGCGTACATTTGATATAGCGAAGAATTCTCTTTGCAGTTTTCATATGGGTCATGGTAGGTGTCTCCATATAGCGACTAATGAGCCCAACTCCAAAAAGGATATCTGGTCTTGTGCACGTCAAATATCTTAGACTTCCAACAAGACTCTTAAAAAGTGTTGGATTTACTTTTTCACCTTCATCATTCTTCGACAACTTGATTCCGCATTCGACGGGGGTGCATACGGGCTTACAGTCCTCCATATTGAATTTCTTTAGAATTTCTTTCGCATATCCTTCTTGTGAGATGAAAATGCAGTCCTCCATTTGCTTTACCTCTATCCCAAGATAGTAGGGCATGTGGCCGATATCCGTCATCTCAAATTCTTGAGCCATGACCTTCTTAAACTCAGTGATCATACTTTGATTATTTCCTGTAAATATAAGATCATCTACATACAAACAAACGAGCAAAATATCTCCTTTCTCATTTACCTTTGTATAAAGGGCATACTCGTGAGGGCATTTTGTGAAGTTATTTTCTAGAAAATACTTGTCAATTCTACTATTCCATGCCCTTGGAGCCTGTTTCAACCCATATAAAGCCTTTTTTAGTTTCAAGACTTTACCTTCATGTCCTTTTACTTTATAACCCATTGGTTGCTCCACATAGATTTCTTCTTTGAGATAACCATTTAGAAAAGCTGATTTCACGTCCATTTGAAATATCTTCCACTTATTTTGCCCTGCAAGAGAGATAATTAATCTTATGGTTTCTAAACGAGCAACAGGAGCAAATACATCTTCATGATTAATTCCCGACCGTTGGTTGTAACCTTTGGCAACCAATCTTGCTTTGTATCTTTCTACGTCTCCTTTAGCGTTCTTCTTTGCCTTGTACACCTACTTAACTCCGATTGCTCTCTTTCCTCTGGGAAGAGTTGTCAGCTCCCACGTGTCATTTTTCTCTATAGCCTTAATCTCTTCATCCATAGCATCTCTCCATCTTTTATTTTGCACCGCTTCTTCATACCCTATTGGTTCACAATCGACAAAAAGACAAAAAAGTGTGAGATCATTTTGATTTTCGGTTACCTCATATAGCTCTTGTAGGCTCCTCATCCGTGGTGTCCTTTCGCTTGAACCTTCTCCTTGTGAAGATGATGGAGAAGCATTTCCATGAGTAGGTGATAGAGGTGGACTGATAATCTCTTGCTGCTCTCCATTCTTTTGCTCTTCTTCATAAAAGAATGGTAAGTAGTCATAGTCTTCTTCTTGGACACCCCAATCCCAAGCTCCTTCTTCATCAAACTCGACATCTCTACTTATGGTGATCTTCTCATTGGTTGGATTATACAACTTGTAGCCTTTAGAACGAGAGTCATAGCCGATGAAGACATTCCTTTCACTTTTGTCATCTAACTTGGACTGTTTTTGATCTGGTACATGAGCATATACAATGCTCCCAATTACTCGTAAGTGAGAGATGTTGGGCTTTCTTCCACTCCATGCTTCTTGTGGTGTCTTATTCCACACACTTCTAGAAGGTGATCGGTTAGACGGATACACGGCGCAATTAATAGCTTCAGCCCAAAGTTCTTTGGGCAATCTCTTACTTTTGAGTATGCAGCGGGTCATGTTAAGAATGGATCTATTCTTTCTTTCTGCTACTCCATTTTGTTGTGGAGAGTATGGAACCGTCACTGGACGACGAATTCCATTCTCCTCACAATATTTCTCAAACTTTTTGGAGGTGAACTCTCCTCCTCTATCCGATCTCAAGGCTTTTATACTATATCCGCTTTCTTTTTCAACAAGAGCTTTAAACTTCTTAAAAGTTTCAAAAACTTCCAATTTTTGTTTAATAAAATAGACCCAAGTCTTTCTACTAAAATCATCAATAAAAAGAACAAAATAATTGCTCTTACCGAGAGAGCTTGGATTAATTGGCCCACAAACATCGGAGTGTACAAGTTCTAGCGGCTTCTTAGCTCTTGTAGATGCTTCTTTTGGAAAACTTTTTCTCGAATGCTTTCCAAGTAAGCATCTTTCACATAATTGATTCGCATGATTTATTGGAGGCAAACTTTTCACCATTTTCTTCTTACTTAACAACTTTAAACCTCCAAAATTAAGATGCCCAAATCTCAAGTGTCAAAGCCAAGATGAATCTTTAAAACAAGCTTTTAAGCATTTAGCGACATCATTTTGAACGCTTAACGCAAACATTCTATTTCTTGTCATAGGGTCTTTGGCAATCAAATTTTCTCTTTGATCTCTTATTGAAAGACTATGATCCTTCAAATGAATATCATAGCCCTTCTCTAAGAGTTATCCCAAACTTAAAATGTTATTCTTCATAGTGGGCACATAATAGACATTTGAGATAAACTGATGCATACCATTTTTTAAGCGGATCAAGATTTCACCTTTTCCTTTCACTGGGATCTTGGATTCATCTCCAAAGGTAATGTTACCGCTTACTGATTCATCAAACTCCACAAACATGTTTTTTCTTCCACACATATGGTTGCTTGCTCCTGTATCCAAATACCAAGTATTCTTTTCTCTGCCCTCTTCACCTTTGTAAGCCAATAGTAGTGCAGGATCTACTTTACTTTCCTGACAAGCGTAGTTGGCTTTCTCCTCAACTTGGTTAGTAATATTTCTACATTCTGAAGCATAATGACCAAGTTTTTGACAATTGTAACATTTAATTTGAGATTTGTCATACCTTGGTCCTTCATTTTTCCTCGTACATTTTTCTCTTCCGCGACCTCTAGTAGAAAACGAACTTTGTCTTCTTTCCTCCTTGTAGAATGCAATTCTTCCTCGATCTTGGCCTCGTCCTCTTCCTCTTTGGCTTCTTCTACTATTGAACCTTCCTTCACCCTCGTTCAAAGTGAGCTTTGTTTGAAGAGCTTGCTCTAATGACTCTTTTTTCACTTTCTTCCTTAGTCTTTCCTCATGGGCTTGTAAAGATCCCATGAGTTGATCGACACTCATACTATCTAGATCTTTAGATTCCTCAATAGCTACAACTATGTAGTCAAATTTAGAATCTAAAGACCTAAGTATCTTCTCAATTACTCGAGTGTCGTTCAACTTTTCTCCATTCCTTTTTAATTGATTCACAATAGCTAATACTCTAGAGAAGTAATCAGAAATTGATTCCGATTCTTTCATATGTAAAGCTTCAAACTCACCTCGAAGTGTTTGAAGTCGAACCTTTTTCACCTTCTCAACTCCTTTGTGGGAGTTTTGCAAGATCTCCCATACTTCCTTACTTGTAGTAGCACAAGCTACTTTCTCGAACATGCCTTCATCTAAGGCTTGATAGATAAGGGTGAGCATCTTCTTGTCCTTCTTCCTTGCATCTTTCAAACTATCCCTTTGTGCTTGGGATAGAGCAACCTCATCTTGTGGCTCCGTGTAGCCTTTCTCTACAATCTCCCATGCATCTTGCGACCCGAGCAATGCTTTCATCCTTATACTCCAATTGTCGT